CAAACTGTATTGAATGGTAGTAAAATCTTATTTTTCACGTAATTATTAAAAAAAGAGGACTCAAAGGAACCTCAGTAAACATTGTTTCCATGATTAAATGCACATGAGTAAGAAAAATATAAATTAGGTGACTTTAAAGAGAAATAGAATCATTGCAGACAAAACACTTTTTGGATGGGCAAAATGTGTAGAATTTAAGATGTAGATAATACTAGATTTATTTGGGTTAATCTGTGCTTTGCACACATTAATTTTTAGGGAGTATCTTCTGTGTGTCTAAGGATTCATTGTTTAGATTTACTATGAATTATCTATCTCTATCCATTTAAATTATCTATTATACCCCAAGCCCTAATATATTTCTTAAAATCAATGATCTGCCTTCTTGAGCAAAGACACAGCCTACATATCCTTCTACAAGGGCACCAAGTACTGAAGGTTTGACAATGAGCACCTGCGAGTGGAACTGGACTACCCCAAATCCACCCTGTGGGACTTCACAGGCTGCCAAGAGCATGTGGACACAGGACTCCAATGGCCCCACGTGGCCTGTCTGCCCTTCAACCCTGATGGGTGTGCAGAGCCCGGGGTGGGCAGTGAAAGTGAGAGGGCAGCGATGAGGGCCATGAGGCTGGCCCAGGTGGCAGAGAGGGGAACTTTGGGGAGGGGACAGATGAGGAAGGGGGCAGCTGAGTGTTGGTAACACACCTCCTGGTATGTACACACCTCCTGGAGCCCATACCTCCTGGCCTGCCTTACCCAGGACCAAAGGGGGTCTGTCAAGGCCCCTCCACCTAGGAGCCTCACTCCCACCAAGTCTGGGCTTCCAGCCCCCATCCACTACTCTCTGAGCTGTGATGTGCTTGGGCATCTTTCCTGGGCCTCTTCCCACCCACCCTCACCCACACCACCACCCTCAGGGGTCTCAGAACCCCACCGGCCTCTGGCACCCACTGCCAGGGTCCCAGCTGCCCCAGGGAGACAGGGTGCTGACGGGTGCACCAGGCACCAGGCTCAGGGGTTCCTCCCCTCCATTCCCTGTCCCCCAGGGCACTGGGAGAGGGGACACTGTGGAGAAGGGCCAGCAGCTCATCCCCTCACGCAGACTGTGGAATGTGGCTGTGGAGCCCCCAAAGGAGCCCATTGTGGTCCTGGAGACTCCCCTTTTTCTTGGGTCAGCCCTAAAGGCAGAGCCACCTCTTCCTTCTTTTCCTTCCCAAAGTAAGCAGGCAGCAAGGCTGCTGTGGAAATGGTACTGTACAGCCGGCTCTGTCCCCTCTGCTTCCCCTCAGCCCAGGGCAAATGGGTCTGCCACCCAGATCCCCAAGGCCCCTGGAGGGAGAGGCTTCTCACAGGCTGTCTTCCTACCTACCCCTCCATCCTCAGAACCAGAGAGTGAGTTAAGGGATGGGGCTTGGAGGTCCATCTCCACCCCCATACATTTCTTTCTGTAAAATAATCTGCACTGATTAAATTGTACAGCCAGCCAAAAAACAAACAAACAAAACAAAACAAACAAAAACAAAAACAAAACAAACAAACAATCTAGTAGTTGGAGACAGAAGACAAGCAGAATTGATTGGAAAATCAAATGCAGAATTGAGAGAAATTTGTGCTCTGTGCTCGAAAGCAACTTTTTCAGAAGCTCAAGAAGTTCAGCTTTGCTTTATGTGATGTATTTTTCTTCTCAAGACACTTCCTTCTCCTCTTATGTTCAACTACTCTCTTATATTTCAGTATTTCCAGTCTTGGCTTCATGGATTCTGTTTATAAAGCAAAGAGCAAGAGGTCAAAGGGAGGAATTCAAACTTTTGTTTGGTTTTATATCACTGGTTACCATGTTTACACATCCTACATTTTAGTGTCCTGGATACTATACTTTTTTTTTTTTCTTTTTGTTTGCCTGAACTACTTTAAACCAGTGTGAATATAACCTCTGGGCTACAAAACCCTTGTTAAGAAGTCAGTTCACTAATATAGCATGCACTGAGAATCATGGGAAGAGGAAGCTCCTGTTGCCTATCTCCTCATAGTCTTAGTTTCTGAAGGGCTGTCAACAATATCTTCCACATACCTCAGTCATTTCTGCTATTGACCATGAATTCAGGTCTCCTGGTTAATCCTCACCTCATATGTTATAATTTGATAGATTTTTTTTTTATTTTTTTTTATTTTTTTAGGATTTTAAGTCCACTTAGCTAGGATTTCATAGAGACTTCACTAACAGTCCTTAAAAAGAAATATAGTCTCTGCAAAAATAATTGAGAAAAGTCTCTAATTTAAAGCCTTTAGTAATTTAAAAACAGAGAAAGAGAAATCTTGAGTAAATATAAAAATATGATTTCCAGAGTCACCACGTTATAATACTCAGATGTTCAGTTTTACAACAACAAAAAATTGCGAAGGATTCAAAGATACGGGAAAATACACCTCTTTCAAAGAATCAAAATAAGTTGACAAACTCTTTCCAAGTGAACTCAGACATCAAAATTACTGGAAAAAGACTTCAAAACAACTATCTTAATATGCTTAAAGAGCAAAGTAACATAGACAAAGAACTACAGGAAATCAAGAAAACATTGTATGAACAAAATAGGGATGCTAATAAAGAGATGGAAATTATAAAGAAACAAAACAAAAATTCTGGAACTGAAAAGTGTAACGATTAAAATGAATTCATTTGGGAGTTCAACAACATCTATAAGCAGACAGAAGATAATAAATAAACTTGAAAATAGGATAACTGAAATTATCCATTGTGAGGAAAAGAAGGAAAAGAATAAATAAAAGTGGACCCCTGGGGGATACCATACAAACATACACATTATGCAAATCCCAGAATGGGAAGATAGGAAGGGGCAGAAGGAATATTTGAAAACAATAGTGACCAAATCTTCCCAAATTTGGTGAAAGATACAAATCCACACATTCAAGTTCAATGAATAAACTCAAATAGATCCTTTCTGAACACATTATAATCAAATTGTTAACAGACAAAGACACAATCTTGGAAGCAACAAAACAAAATTGACTCATCACATATCAGGAATCCTCAATGAAATTAACAGCTTACTTCTTACTGAAAACCATATATATGAGAAGGCAATAAAAAGTCATATTCACAGTACTGACCAGAAGACTATTAACTAAGCAATTATATTCAGAAAAACTATTCATTAAAACAAAGGAGAGAAATTAAGACATTTCCATATTATCAAAAACTGAGAATTTGTTGCTAGCTGACTTGTCCTGCAAAAAATACTAAAGGGAGGCTTTCAAGATGAAATCAAAGGACATTAAACAGTAATTTAAACCCACAAGACAGGGGTGCCTGGGTGGCGCAGTCGGTTAAGCGTCCGACTTCAGCCAGGTCACGATCTCTCGGTCCCTGAGTTCGAGCCCCGCGTCGGGCTCTGGGCTGACAGCTCAGAGCCTGGAGCCTGTTTCCGATTCTGTGTCTCCCTCTCTCTCTGCCCCTCCCCCGTTCATGCTCTGTCTCTCTCTGTCCCAAAAATAAATAAATGTTGAAAAAAAAAATAAAAAAATAAATCCACAAGACAAATAACCTGATAAATTTGAATACATAGTCAAATACGAAGATCGGATAAGGGTATCTTTTTTTGTGACTTTTCTTCTCTTTTCTCAGTTAAAAGGCAGTTGCCTAAAACAATTACCAATTATGTTTCTAGGCTCATAATATGTAAAGATGAAATTAGTTTATTCATAATTTTACAAAGGGCAGTGAGAAATGTAGATATGTTAAAACTTTTGCATAATAAAGAATGTAAATTGATATTAATCCAAACTAGATTGTTATAATTTTATATGGGAAACCATGAAGTAAAATAATTTCTAAAATATTACCAAAGCAACAAAAAGTAAATTCAAATAGTATGGTATGGAAAATCTGTTTATCACAAAAGAAAGCAGTCATGGAGCAATAAAGAAATGACAAAAGTGTATGGAAAAGAGATACCAAAATGCAGACATATATCCTATCATATCAGCAACTGCATTTAATGCAAGTAGCCTAAACAATCTGATAAAAAATAATATTGGAAGAATGGATTTTAAAATATCATTTAATTATTCATTGTCCACAAGGAATGCATATTAGATATACAGACACAAATATGTGGAGTACAAAAGGACAGAAAAAGATTACCATACAAACCAAAAGTATCCTAATAACTGACAAAATAGACTGCAAGACAAAAATCATTACTAGAATTAATTTCAGTTATAAAAGGGCCAGAATATTAGGAGGACATAATTGCCAACACACATGCAGTTAAAAACAGAACCCTAAAATATATGGAGCAAAATTGACAGAATTAAGGGAAGTAATAGACAATTCAACAATAATAGTTGGACATTTTAATACTCCTCTTTATTTTTACCAGCTTTATTGAAATATAATCAACACATAAAAATAATGTGCATTAGGGTATATAATGTGAGTTTTTGAAATATATGTAAATAGTGAAATGATTGCCACAATTAGCTAATGATTGCCATAGTTAATTAATGTATTAGCATAATAATATCACTTTACATTTTTGTGTGTCTGGTGAGCACACTTAATATCAACTCTCTCTCTCTCTCTCTGTCTCTCTCTCTCTCTCTCTGTCTTTTTGAGAGAGAGGGGTTCGATCTCAAGACCATGAAATCATGACTTGAGCCAAAATCAAGAGTTGGATGGTTAATTGATTGAGCCACCCAGGCACCAGGCACCCCTAAGGTCAACTCTTTTAGAAACTTTTAAGTATATAATACAATATTATTAACTACAGTGAACATGCTATAGGTTAGATCTCCAGAAGTTATTCATTCTACCTAACTGAAACTTTCTGATGTTTGACCAACATCCCTCCACTTCCCCCACCCCCCAACCCTGGCAAACACAATTAGTTCTATTCTCTGCTTTCACGAATTCATCTTTTTTAGATGCCGCATATATAAGTGAGGTAATGCAGTATTTGTCATTTTGTAGCTTATTTCTCTTAGTATAATGACCTCCAGGTTCTTCCACGTTCTTGCAAATGACACATTTTCTATATCCATCCATCTACTGGCAGATAATTAGTTTGTTTCCATGTCTTGCCTATTGTGAATAATGCTGCAGTGAACACAGGTATGCAGATGTCTTGTTGAGAAGTGATTTAATTTCCTTTGCATGTATACCCAGAATTACTATAACATAAGGTATCTCTGTGTTTAATTCTCTGAGGAACCTCCATATTGGCTGACCTCATAATGGCTGAACCAATTTACATTATCAAAAATAGTGCACAAGGGTTTCCTTTTCTCCCCATTCTCACCAACACTTGTTATCTTTTATCTTTTTTTTCTAAGTTTTTAAATGTTTATTTTTGAGAGAGAGAGAGAGAGAGAGGGAGGGGGAGGGGCAGAGAGGGAGAAACAGAATCGGAAGCAAGTTCCAGGCTCTGAGCTGTCATCAGACTCAACTCAGCAGAGGACTCAAACTCACAAGCTGTAAGATCATGACCTGAGCTGAAGTCAGACGCTTAACTGACTAAGCCACCCAGGTGCCCCTATCTTTTATCTTTTCAGTAATAGCCATTGAAACAAATGTGAGATGCTATCTTATTGAGGTTTTAATTTGCATTTCTCTAATGATCAGTGATGTTGAGTAACTTTACATATACCTGTTGAAGATTTGTATGTCTTCTTTTGAGAAATCTCTATTTAGATCCTGCACCATACTGTTGATTACTGTAGCTTTATAGTGTATTTTGAAGTCGGAAAATGTGATACATTCAGCTTTGTTGTTTTTGCTTAAGATTACTTTGACCATTTTAAACCTTTTCAGGTTCCATAGAAATTGTAGAATTGTTTTTGTTTGTTTTCTTTTTTCCATTTCTGCAAAGAATGCCATTGATTGGAATTATGATGGGCATTACATTGAATCTGTAGATACCTTTGGGTGATAAGGATATTTTAACAATATTAATTCTTAAAATCCATGGGGCGCCTGGGTGGCGCAGTCGGTTAAGCGTCCGACTTCAGCCAGGTCACAATCTCGCGGTCCGTGAGTTCAAGCCCCGCGTCAGGCTCTGGGCTGATGGCTCGGAGCCTGGAGCCTGTTTCCGATTCTGTGTCTCCCTCTCTCTCTGCCCCTCCCCCGTTCATGCTCTGTCTCTCTCTCTCCCAAAAATAAATAAAAACGTTGAAAAAAAAATTAAAAAAAAATCCATGAACATGGGATGTCTTTCCATCATCTGTCTGTCTTCTTTAATTTTCTTCCCGAATGTTTTACATTTTCAGTGTATAAATCTTTCATCTCTTTGATTAAGTTTATTCCTAAGTATTTTATCTTTTTGTTGCTATTTTGAGTGGGATTGTTTTCTTAATTTCATTTTCAGATAGTTTGTTTATGTGTAGAAACACAAATGATTTATGTGACTTTGTATCCTGCACCTTTACTAAAGTCACTTTTTAGTTCTAAAACTTTTTGGTTGATCCTTTAGGGTATTCTACATATATCATCATGTCATCTGCAAACAAAGATAATTTCACTTCTTCCTTCTTTTTCTTCCAAGTCTAAGTTATACTTCCTCTTGCTTAACAATTCAGCATTTAAGTAATTTAAGTCATCAAGAGGAACCAGGATGCTCCTTCAAAATTTGCGTAGATATTTTCTCAAATATTCAGGTTTTTTTTCCACTCACAAATTTAGCCTTCCAAAAAACACTAGAATACGGAAACAATTCATCCAAGATTTTTGCCAATTTATAATAAGGATGACTTCTTCTCCATTGTCTAATAACATATTTCTCATTTCCATTTAAGACTTGACCAGAATGACCTTTACTATCCATATTTCTACCAACATTCTGTTCAATTCTTAATTGGTTCTTTAAGAAGATTGAGACTTTCTCTGCATCTCCTCTTTTCTTTCTGAGATCCACCAGAATTTTCCTTAATGGTCCATTTACAGCAATGTAGGCTTTTTGTAGCATGCACCTCCAAAGTCTTTCAGCCTCTGTTTATTTCTTAGTTCCAAACCACTTCCGCATTTTTAGGTATCTGTTATAGTAGCACCTGTATCTCTTGGCATCAATTTTCTGTCTCTGCTTTCTGCTAAAACAAAAATGCCATACACTGAGTTACTTGTAAACAATGAACATTTATTTCTCAGGTCTGGAGGCTGGGGAGTACAAAAACAAGGTACCAACAGATTCAGAGTCTTGTGAGAGTCAGCCTCCTGGTTCATAAACTGTTGACTATGACCTCACATGGCAGAAAGAACAAGAGAGCACCCTGGGGTCTCTTTTTTAGGGGATCTAATCCCATTCATGAGGCCTCAACCCTCATGATCTAATTGCATCCCTAAGCCCCAACTTCCAAATACCATCACATTGGTTTCAACATATGACTTTGGGTGGTACACAGATATTCAGTCTGTAGCAGTTATTCAGGGTGGCTAATTCAGGGCATATTGAGACTTGGGGCAGTCTAAAAATTTAGATCTCTGTTTCTTCCCATCTTCAAGTTTTTATTTCACAGTGCTTTCCAGTATCATTGTTACTATAGGTTGTTCAGATTTATTTGATATATTACAGGAAAATCAAATTCTTATCAATGTCCAAATTAGTTTTCACAATTTATCTACAAATATCTTGCATTCACACTATGAATTATATACCCTATTATCACATAAGACAAAGCAAATTCTAATACTTGTGGTTAGAAGGCAATTACCTTTAGAAAGAAGAGAGGGTCCAGGTTTGGAGTAATTTGGAATAAGATGATAGCAGTGGTCATATGTGGATCTTGAGAAACTTAACAGAACACCACAGGGGAAGGGAAAGGGGAAAAATAGTTACAAACAGAGAGGGAGGAAACCATAAGAGACTCTTGAATACAGAGAACAAACTGAGGGGTGATGGGGGGGAAGGAGCAGGATAGAGGGGGAAATAGGTGATGGGCATTGAGAAAGGCACTTGTTGGGATGAGCACTGAGTGTTGTATGTAAGCAATGAACCATGGGAATCTACCCCCAGAACCAAGAGCACACTTTACACGCTGTATGTTAGTCAATGTGACAATAAATTATATTTTAAAAAAAGAAAAGACGGTAGCAGTGGAAACAGAAGAAATAAGATATGCAATAGGACTTTGGAAGAAGTGAAAATCTAGTTTAGGTAATGTATATACAGTAGTGAAAGGATCTGCTGCTCATGATCATTTTAGTCAGCTCCAGGGTCCACATAATGCTTTAAAGCATGTGACTTTCAGACAGCAGCTTGCTGTTTGAGGGAGAGACACTCTCTGGAGCAAAAATGATTGCAGAAGAGGGATACCTAGAAGAAGGGATGCTAGGATGAGATACTTCCCACTTGATATCCCAGCAGATGTTTCAGAAACATAGTCCCTACAGAATTTTTACAGTCTCCCAAGTGTAGACTCATAACTATAGAAGAGAGGGTATTTGTTGTTATTTTAAAACATCCACTGCCTCCTTGGGTATAAAGTTCAAGCTGCAGTATGTATGTATGTATGTATGTATGTATGTATTTATTTATTATTTATTCATTTAAATCCAAGTTAGCATATAGTGCAACACTGATTCCAGGAGTAGATTCCAGGGATTCATCCCCTATGTATAACAATCAGTGCTCATCCCAACAAGTGTCTTCCTTAATACCCCTTACCCACTTAGGCCATCCCGCCTCCCACGACCCCTCCAGCAACCCTCTGTTTGTTCTTCATATTTAAGATTCTCTTATGTTTTGTCCCCCTCCCTGTTTTTATATTATTTTTGCTTCCCTTACCTTATGTTCATCTGTTTTGTATCTTAAATTCCTCATATGAATGAAGTCACATACTGTTTGTCTTTCTCTGACTAATTTCACTTAGCATAATACCCTCTAGTTCCATCCATGTTCTTGCAAATGGCAAGATTTCATTCTTTTTGATTGCTGAGTAATACTGCATTGTATATATATACCAAATCTTTATCCATTCATCTGCTGATGGACATGTGGGCTCTTTCCATAATTTGGCCATTGTCGATAGCACTGCTTTAAACATTGGGGTGCATGTGCCCCTTCGAAACAGCATAGCTGTATCCATTGGATAAATACTTAGTAGTGCAATTGCTGGGTTGTAGGGTAGTTCTATTTTTAATTTTTTGAGGATCCTCCATAGTGTTTTCCAGATGGCTGCAACAGCCTGCATCCCACAAGCGGTGCAAAAGAGATCCTTTTTCTCCACATCCTCGCCAACATCTGTTATTGCCTGAGTTGTTAACTTTAGCCATTCTGACAGGTGTGAGGTGGTAGCTCATTGTGGTTTTGATTTGTATTTCCCTGATGATGAGTGATGCTGAGTGGTTTTTCCTGTTTCTGTTAGCCATCTGGGTGTCTTCTTCGTAGAAGTGTCTATTCATGTCTTTTGCCCATTTCTTCACTGGATTATTTGTTTTTTGGGTGTTGAGTTTGATAAGTTCTTTATAGATTTTGGATACGAACCCTTTTTCTGATATATCGTTTGCAAATATCAACTCTCATTCCATTGGTTGCCTTTTAGTTTTGTTGATTGTTTCCTTTTCTGTGTGGAAGCTTTTTATTTTGATGAGGTCCCAATGGTTCATTTTTGCTTTTGTTTCCCTTGCCTCTGGAGACATGTTGAGTAAGAAGTTGCTGCGGCCAAGGTCAAAGAGGTTTTTGCCTGCTTTCTCCTTGAGGATTTTGATGGCTTCCTGTCTTAAGTTTAGGTCTTTCATCCATTTTGAGTTTATTTTTGTGTATGGTGTAAGAAAATGGTCCATGTTCATTTTTTTGCATGTCAATGTCCAGTTTTTCCAGCGCCATTTGCTGAAGACACCTGTCTTTATTCTTTGGATATTCTTTCCTGTTTTGTCAAAGATTAGTTGGCCATACGTTTGTGGGTCCATTTCTGGGTTCTCCATTCTGTTCCATTTTTCTGAATGTCTATTTTGTGCCAGTACCATACTGTCCTGATTACAGCTTTATAATACATCTTGAAGTCTGGGATTATGATGCCTCCAGCTTTGGTTTTCTTTTTCAGGATTGCTTTGGCTATTAGGGATCTTTTCTGGTTCCATACAAATTTTAGGATTGTTTGTTCTAG